CAGAATTCACCATAGCTAAGATTTGGAAACAGCTAAGTGCCCATCAGTAGATGAGTGGATTAAAAACCTGTGGTACATCTACACAATGAAATACTACACTGTCGTAAAAAAGAAGGAATTCTTACCATTTGCAACAGCGTGGATAGAATGGGAGACCATTATGCTAAACGAAATAAGCCAGTCAGAGAAAGATAAATATCACATGATCTTACTCATTTATGGAATATAATGAACAACATAAACTGATGAACAAAAACAGATCTAGAGACAGAAGCATTGATCAGACTGTCAAACCTCAGAGGGAAGGTAGGGGAGGGTGGGGGTAAGGGTAGAGATCAACCAAAGGACTTGAATGCATGCATATAAGCCTAACCAATGGACACAGACAACAGGGGGATGAGGGCATGAGTGTGTGGAGGGAGACGGGGGGTTAATGAGGGGATGAGGACACATGTAATGCCATAATTAATTAAAGATAAAAATAAACTTAAGGAGTTGACTTACTTGGTTAAAACCTAGCAAACTAATCTGAGATTAGAATTTCATCAGTCTTTTCTAAAATTTACTTTTCTGTTTGGTGAGGTTTAGTTTCAAATTATTAAAAACCTGATATGGGAGTCTCAGGCCTGGTGCCATCTTCCACGCCCTCATCTTGAGAGGGCCTGAGGGGCCTGTCCGCTCTCACCTTGCTTCTGGGCTTTTGGACTGTTTTATTTCTGCTGTGATTTTTCCCCACACCCAAATCCCCTCCTCCCTCACATTCCAGGTAGCTGAAACTCAGCACTGCCCTGACCAGGGTCTGAGGCTGCAGATGACCAGTACTCAAAAAGAAAACTTGATATGATCTGACTTTGCATTGAGACTTGAGTTCTGCTTATTTTTTACTTCAATAATTTCGATTTTAAAAACACAGCACTTTTTCCAGTCACTATTTAAAAGCCACTCATTTAAAATATATACAGTAGTTTTTAGTAAGAAAAGTGATTCAGAAAACTGCGGCTTAAAAAAAATCTTCACTGAGGATATGTTTTTATTGATTTTAAAGAGAGAGAAACATTGATGTAAGAGAAATATCGATTGGTTGCTTCCCCTTAGCACCCTGATCAGGATTGAACCCAAAACCTAGGTATGTACACTGACCAGGAATTGAACGCTTGACCTTTCTCTGTATATTGGACAATGCTCTAACCAACTGAGCCATGCTGGCAAGGACACACTGAGCCTTTTTTTAAAGTCTTGTAAATTGTTGGTGGATAATGTATCGTCATCCGTTGGCCCCTCTTTCTCCACCATTTAAAGAAAGCCGTGAACAACTTACCATGATGATGATGGAGAGCAACATGAGAGAGAGAATGAATGAATGAATGAATGAATATGAATGAGAATATATATAAATGCATAGCATATTCCAGAAATCCAGTGTGTGTGGTGCTTACTGTTTAATTACTAACTTCAGAGAGTTCGCATTAAACATTCTTGGGCAAACAAAGCTTTGTTGGGTTTTGAATTGTTAAATTAATACTTAGTCTTTGAATTATACTTATCAGAGTGTGTTAACTATTCTCTAAGTGGGACTGGTTTTACAGTTTTTATTATGTAAACAATAGAAATATTTTATGGAGCACTTAACTGTATATGATGAATTGTTCTAAGCATATTACATGCTTTAATTTATTTTAACAGCAATCCTATGATGTGGGTACAGTTTTATCTCTATACTAAAGGCCCAGTGCATGGATTCACGCACCAGTGGCATCCTTCGGCCTGGTCTGCGGGGATAGGGCCAAAACCGGCCCTCCAACATCCCCCAAGGGGTCCCAGATTGCAAGAGGGTTGTTCTCAGGTGATGCACCCTGGAATCGGGCTCCCTCCTCTCTGGTTCCAGGTGCGTCACCTGAGAACCCCAGCTGCCAAGTCACTGCAGCTCCTGTGTCAAGCGTCTGCCCCCCCAGAAGTTTCAGCAGGTAGATAATCCATATTGGCTCCCATAAACTAGTTACATTTGAAACCTGTATTCTGTATTGCTTAGAAAATGTCCTTCAGTCTTGTGATCCCCCTCCCTTTCCCCCCTGGTGACCCCCCCGCCCCCAGGAAAAGACTGCATTTATTATGTGGAAGTGGGGATTTTAAAGACTGGTTTACTAGAACTTTGTTCTAAAAAAGCAGATTGTTTTTTTAATTATTGATTTGAAAGAGGAAAAGAGAGGGTGAGAGTGAAACATCATCAATGAGCATCAATGAGAGAAACATCAATCAGCTGCCTCCTACATGTCCCCTACTGGGGATCAAGACAGCAACCGGGTGTGTGCCTTGACCTGGAATTGAACCAGTGACTTTTTGTTGCATGAGATGACACTCATTCAACTGAGCCATATTGGCCAAGGCTAAGAAAGCATCTACACTAATAAAAGAGAAACATGGTAATTGGCGTACGACTGCTACCCTTCCCATTGGCTAATCAGCAAGATATGCAAATTAACTGACAGCCAAGATGGCGACCGGCAGCCAGGCAGCTTAAACTGAACATGAGGCTTGCTTGCTTCAGTGATGGAGGACTGCAACGTTCCCCACCTGCCTTGCAGGCCTCTGAGCAGGCAGTTTGAAACATAGTAACATATAGAAGCTAAAAAAAAACTCCAGAAACCTGCTTTCAGCAAGCCTGGATCTCAGAGCTGGAGTCAG